TCTATTTAGTTTGCCAGCCCTGATAATTTTGATTTTTGAAAAAATTTCTGAAGCTTGAAATGTTTTTTTTTTTCTGTGTAGCCGCCAGGTGGTTCTAAGAATATATGGGAATTGGTGGATATCATCAACGGTAAAGAAATGAACATGTCACCAGATTACAGCAAAGGTGTACAGCATATGAATGATCTTACCAAATATAAAGCTGTAAGTATTCACATTTTATTGTGTTGTCTTTTTGCGTTCTGTGATATATACTGCAGAATGCTTTATTTTCACCACGATCAATTTCAGTCATTTAAATATCTGTGGGTAATCATATGCTTATTCGTGTGAAAAATCTTGTGAACGATATGGAATTATTACACGTCATGACCAGATTGTCTTCATTTATTTATCATATTTGTATATCTTGTTTTATTAGTCTGAAGCACAAGGATTAGAAATTGTTAAAATGTCACGGTTTGGTGCTGGTATTGGAACGCAGACCAAGGATGAAAGACTGAAAGAGGCTGCACAGATACATATACGACTAGGAAATGTACAAAGATACTGTGAACTGATGGTAGAGTTAGGACAGGTGAGTCACTCTATCAATTCTTCACACTGGGACTTGCTAGGCAATGTACAAATATATACGGTGAACTGATGGTAGAGTTAGGACAGGTGAATCACTCCATCAATTCTTCACACTGGGACTTGCTAGGCAATGTACAAATATATACGGTGAACTAATGGTAGAGTTAGGACAGGTGAATCACTCCATCAATTCTTCACACTGGGACTAGCTAGGCAATGTACAAACATATACGGTGAACTGATGGTACAGTTAGGACAGGTGAATCACTCCATCAATTCTTCACACTGGGATGTGCTAGGCAATGTACAAATATATACAGTGAACTGATGGTACAGTTAGGACAGGTGAATCACTCCATCAATTCTTCACACTGGGACTAGCTAGGCAATGTACAAATATATACAGTGAACTGATGGTAGAGTTGGGACAGGTGAGTCACTCTATTAATCTTAGTGTGATTACCGATAGGTAACAAATCTTTATTCAATTCCTAATTCATTCATTCATTCATAAACAAGACACACTCAAGTATGTGATTAACAAAATGAGGAATCATATATTTTTGTATTATTTGTCACATTCTGATTGGCTGACAGTTAAAACTGTTTCATTGTGTTCTCAGTGGGAAAAAGCATTGGCTGTAGCTCCGGGTGTGTCTTTGGAGTATTGGAAGAAGTTGACTGAAAGGTACGTAGTAGAATCGTGGTCCCAAAAAAATCGCTTGAAATAACACTGCAAATGAGCAAGTCTGTGAAAGAAATGTATTACTTGATTTGTAAAGATATAGTTTGTGTAAATGTTGATAAATTTGTGGTTCAGTAGTTACTATCCAACTTGTAGGTAAATGTACAGCATTTGCTTCAACACATTCTGAAGTTTTCGGTGAAATAAAAATCATAACAATGCTATAAATTCAGGCTTCCTGTTGCCGAATTACAAAGCAAAGCATATAACCTGATAACCTCACTCAGTCAAACATTTGCAAACTTAAACTTAGTCTGAGATCCCATTGGTGTTGAACAGGCTTAGTTGATGCCTGTATCACACAAAATGGCGTCTTTATCGCATATCTCCATAAATAGTAGTTGCATAGTTTAAAGGGTGGCAGTCGTCACGCCGCGTCCTGTTTGATATGGGACTCATAGCGACGTATACAACGTGTGTAAAATACATTGTTTATTTACATGAAATTTTAACATGTGCTGCGCGACGACCACCAGGCTTTAACCTACATGTAGCTTACTCGCACTTCTTTATCTACAACAATGCAGTTGTTATCTCTTGTTGTTTGCAGGAGAGCTGAATACCTTATGAGTGAGGATTACGATGACTGCATACCGTTCTGTGTTGCCACGGGGCAAGCGTCAAAACTCATAGAATATCACTCACAACATGGACATCTGAAAGAGGCAATGCTTATTGCACAAGTGGCGTGTGAGGGCAGTATACAACCACCGCTTGTAGCCAACAGCCAAGCGAAGCCCTACAATGGTGTTTATGAGCCTCATCCAGATTTTGTTAAGTATGTATTTTTTTTGTTATGTAATTTCTTTGTTAATCATTGTATTAGAGGTGCTGCTCACGTACACGATGTCAGTTATTCGCACTGAAGATGTAAACAATCTCAATTAATTGTACTAGTGAACCTTTGATTGCGTGATTGATTTGTCCAAACAGTTTTGGTCTGGTCAGTTTGTTAGATACGCTACGTAAAAGACATAAATCATAAAATTTTGTTATCACACTACTATGGTGCATTGGGAAATAACTCACAGGAAACATAATGCTATATATATATGAAAAAATACTTCTTGTGTGATTCGAACTAGCGATCACAGCACCACAAATCACCTAGCTGCACAAATTGGTCACTGGGCTTTCTTAAAAAGGTTGCTTAATAACTGAGCTTATTCCACACTGCAACCCTGCAAAGCCAAATGAATGCACACAGCATACCGAATAGAGATCAGAACCCTCCTAACCCGACAGTAGTACATTGAGAAATGGTGAGATAGGGAAAAGTGAGCAGCTGACAAATGCTATATATAAATAGATGAGTGAAGGGAAACTCAATTGGCTGCTTAGCATTACGATTTGTATCATTGAAATTTATGATGATTAGTGTGAAATATCTCTGCTGATATGTGCATATGTGCATGCATTGTACATAGAGCTGGTATCACCCATTCGCCTTTGGTTCATGGATAATATAAAATATCACTTTTTTCATCAGGTTTTTAAAACTAGTGATGTCCTCATATATACTTTGCAGGTGTAATGCATTTGATTCAAAATCCTACTTGGTAATAAGGAAACAAACGCAATAAAGAATCATCATCATAGTTTATTGGCTAAATATATTAAAAATATAAATAGAAATTGGATTGGCCTTGCACACTAAAATACAATCATTTGGCTAGATGCAACAAAGACTACCTAGGGGCCTTACATAAATTTGACGTCATGTGTCGGACGGCTATGGGCTAGAAGCCTTTAGCTAGCTGACCGGGATGATGTGGATGCCAGAGATCGATAGCACCTGCCGGACAGTAGGAGTTTAAACAAATCATGCGCGGGATTAGATATGTCACCGATGATTCATTCGGCTCGCTTGTCCAGGCGTTTCCAGTACACATCACATAGAGGGGGAAGTTGGATCTGACCAATTCTCATTAATGTTCTTTTCAGGATGCTTCATAAATGCAGTGAAGATTTAGCTGACTGGTATTTCCGAGATGGTTCCTGTATTAGCAGCATGTTGTCATCTTTCAGTCGAGAACTGTAA